GTGTACTACAAGACCCGCCAGTGTCAAGAAAAATCTTCCACAATAATGGCATGGGATTTCAAGACCATTGTTGTCAACATTTGTGTCTAATCCGTTTCTTTTCAGACTCTCAGCTCTCATCCTTTCTGCAGTCATTTCTTCCTTCACTCTCATTCCCTTCCTGATATGCCTTTCCCACACAACACAGTCCATGGCATTTTGTTCCCATGAGTCCACCTCAATACCTATATCATTCATGTCCGGCTTGCACACATCTTTATATCGTAGTAGAGGTCGGCCTCGACATCTTCCTCTCTTTAATTCCCCATAAAGGATGCCCTCAGGGACTCTGTCATCCTACATTCTCCAGGTGTGACCCAGGCACCTGAGCCTTCGTAGACTGAGCATGGAAAAGACTGTTGTAGTACCTGCTCTTTCGAGTACCTCAGTGTTTGTGATTTTGTCCTGCAACTTAATGCCAAGTATTCTTCTTAGGCATCGCATGTTAAAGTTATTTAGCCCTATCTTCTGGTGCAGATAGGCTGACCAAGTTTCACTGCTATTAAGCAGAGTGCTGAGAACACAAGCCTGATAGACAAGGGTTTTTGTTTTATATGTGAGCTTTCTGTTCTCCGAAACTCTCTTTGTCAATCTGCTCATTGTTGTTGCTGCCTTACCTATCCTGATGTTGATTATTTGGTCCAGCGATAGTTTACTATACACTGTGGAACCCAGATAGGTAAACTGGTCTACTGTCTCAAGCTCTTCACCGTCAATGTAGACTGTAGGTCTGTCATTAACACCTTGCACCATAACCTTTGTCTTCTTTTTTTGCTGACTGTTAGTTCAAATTCACAGCATGCATCAGCAAAGGCAGATAGTAAACATTGCAGCTCCTCCTCCGAGTGGGTGGTTATTGCGGCATCATTTGCAAACAGCAGTTCTCTGTTAAGTACCTTTCTTATCCTGTATTTGACCTTCAGCCTGGGAGCATTGTAAAGGCTGCCCTCCTTATCTCGAAAGGCATGTGTCAAAAGAAGGGAAATTTATATTCAAAAGAGGGTAAGAGCATGAACACAGCTCTGCTTCACTCTATTTTTGATCACAAACTTCTCCGATGTTACACCATCAAAGTTGATTGTACCTTTCATTCATGTGTGGAACGACTCAATAATGCTCAGTAGAGTAGGTGGACACCAAATCTTTTTCAGTGCATTTAAAAGACCTTTTCGACTAACCAAATCAAATGCTCTGGTAAGATCAATAAAAGCAACATACAGTGGTTGATTTTGTGGTAATGAAAATATCATACCAGTGGTAGATCGGTTCCCACGAAAGCCACACTGGGACTCTGGTTAAATGCGGTCTTCCAGGATCTGGAGTCTTTGCAGAACAATTCTCGCAAGCACTTTTGCAACAGTACACAGCAGTGATATTCCCCTGTAGTTATTGCAGTCACTCCGATCACCCTTGTTCTTGTACATAGTTATGATGCTTGCGTCTTTAAAGTCTTACGGAACCTGTCCCTCTTGCTAGCAGATTGTTATTAGCTGATGAATGTGTGGGGTTAGTATGTCTTTCCCACTACTGATTATTTTAATAGGAATTCCATCTCTGCCTGGGGCTTTCCCTGAAGCCAATTCATCTATAGCATTCCCAACTTCTACAACTGTTGGAAATGTGTCCAGATAGTCAATAGTTGGTAGAGTCTTCATGGCATTAAGAGCACCATCTGTTAGTTTAGTATCAACTGAGTAAAGCTCAAAATAATGTTCCGCCCATCTATCTAGATGCTTCTTCTTGCCATTAATAATCTCCCCATTCAAATTCTTTAGTGGTGCACTTTTTTAAATAGTAGGACATGCCTCTAACATTAACACTACTGCTAGCATTTTTAATGCTTTCACATAACTGGATCCAGTATTTGTTGGCACACTGCCTAGCAACCTTTTGCAAATGATTTCTAGCTGCTCTTAATTCAATGAGAGTGTTCCTTGTTGTTCTTTCTTTGTTTCTGAGGAGTATTACCTTTTTGCTGTCAATTAAAGGTTGCAGTGTCTGGCTATTTGCTTCAAACCAGTCCTTACTTCATTTTTCTCTAATCCCATAGACTGATACAGCTGTTTTGTGAACAGTCTCCCTAATTTCATCCCATTTTAGACTTGCTGTAGAGTTATCCTGGATATCAGTGAAAGCATCTTCAAGCTGTTGTTGAAACTCAAAACCCTTTTCAGGGTTTTTAGTTTTGGAAATATTTAACCTAGGGATATATTTGTTTTTTGAAGTGAAAATTCTCTTTGGTTTCATCCGAACTCTTGCAGCAACTAAGGAATGGTCAGTATCACAGTAAGCACTGTGGTAGCAGCGAGTTTGTGATACACAGTTCAAGTGCTGCCTCATTGTGAGAATAAGGTCCAGCTGGTGCCAGTGGCCAGATCTTGGATGTTTCCCTGACACCTTATGGCGGTCTTCAGTTTTGAATAAGGAGTTTGTGATGCACAAGTCACTTCTAGTGCAGAATTCCAATAGTCTCTGCCCATTTTCATTCATGTGGCCATATTATATTTTTTCAAGACAAACTGGCCATGAGTTTGAGCCTGATCCTACGCGAGCATTAAAATCGCCAAGTATGTAGATGCCGTCAGATTTAGGAACTGATTTCACTGCTTTATCCAGTTAAGTGACATTCGAAGTTGTCTCCCACCGTCAGAGGAAAATCCGTGGCGCCCTTGTCTACGCCAACTGACTAGGACTTATAACCCGTAACTGCCGCCTCTCGATTTTTTTCTGAGACCGATTAAGGCCAGGTCTGAAGTTCTTCCTCTCCATAGCACAAAGCCTAGGCTTGTAGAGACCATATGTTGCCCATGCATAATGACCCCTCCCTCGACCTGCCTTGTTTACTCCAAAGAAACGGTAAAACCAGTACATTTTGGAATGAGGCAGGTTGTAGAAGCTGCCGGTTCAGAAACCCACCTGTCGGAGCTTTCCTTCTAGACCAGCTGCCAACCAAGGCGAAGGACCTGGTCTACCCTGCCATAACATAAGGTTTTCAGGTTGCATTTCCTTTTCCTAGGATAAGGCTTGTATCCTCCCCAATGCGCTCCTTCGCCTGAAGCTGTTGGCACCATATGGGATGCTGGGTTAGTATACGCCGCCCAACATTCGATAACCCTTGCTTCTTGTACCCTTTCTTTAGACTAAATTATGGCGGAAATTTCTTGCAGTTCGTCCACTCTGGGACTTTGGTCTTGTTCCAAAACATGAATTTTGCCTGCACATCCGTTTTAAAGATCGGGCTTTTTTTTTAAAGTAGGGTGCTGGCTCCTCGCCTCTCGGGCAGATGCACTCTGACTTTCAAGTACACCCCCTTAATGGGTCACGATGTGCGTCTCAGGGAGCACGGGTCTATTCTCCACCTTCCTCAAATAGGACCCCAGAACCCACACGAGGGAGTGTGAAAACAAATAACTCTGCTCCTCGTGAAAGCTCGGGGGTACTAATATGGGGAAGAACAAGAATAGACCAAATACCTCCACAACAAGCATGTCTTAAGAGTCGACTAAGTGGAGGTCTCTTCAAACTCGGAGTGCAACTCATCTGCCTGAGAAACAAAGAACCATCTGTGTACAAATGAGCAAGATTAGAAAAACGGATGCACACGCAAAACTCAGGTCCTGGAACGAAACCAAAGTCCAGACATGAACGAACAACCAGGTTTATTGCTCCAGGGTGTACAGTCGGTGAAAGCAAACAACAACACCAGTAACTCTGTCAGTACAACACTACTCTCCATATGTTTTTTTTTTTTTTTTTTTTGGTGTTTGCAAAGATGTATAATGCTCTTACTGTCTACAATCACAGTTGTTTTATTAACCCATTGTATTGGAATTAATAATTAAATGCCAAATTCCTCTGGGGAAAAAGAAAGCCAGGGTCTTATATTTGTGTTTATAAATGCACTAGGGCTTTTTTCAGGTGATGTTCTTTACTACCTTTCGGCAACAGATCTCATTCTATCTCACTGGTTCTCAACCTTCCTAGGGCCGCGACCCATTAATACAGTTCCTCGTATCGTGGTGATCACCAACCATTATTTTTTTTCCCGTTGCTACTTCATTTTCAGCAAATATGTGTTTCCGCTGTTCTAGTTGACTATTATAACTATGACTTTTTTTATGAGGGGGGGGGGGGGGGGGGGGGGGGTCTTATCTTTGTGTTGGCGTCTTTGGATTCGGCGTTGCGATCGCGCTTTGTAATGCCAGGGTATCGGGCTCGATCCCAGCTACAGATGATTTGTCCTGCGCTGATTTAGACAGTGGTACCGATAACTGACCTTTTTCAGAAAGCAATGGCAAACTAAATGTGAAATTTGCCTAGAAAAACCACAACAGCCACACACACACAAAATGCTGGGGTTGGCTCTGCAACGTCATGTAAAGGATACGCAACTAACATCTTCGTGGAAACACGGCACTTCTGTCTCTCAGTGTACCTGTTGAACTCTCTTTCAGGCCTAGAATATGTTTTTGCTTTTAAGCTCAACTCCTCAACATAAAAGGAATTACAGTAACAATTGCTTGGTATTGAAAGAGTTCAGTAACTGAAACTAAAACAAATGCATGACGTAAATAGGGATGACTGCAGTCGAGCTGATTGCAAGCAATGTTAAATTTCTAAATTTCCACTCCGTTGATAAAGACTTGGGTCAAAACGTTCGGATGTGTTTGTGTGAGTCTTATCCGTTTCCTCCGCTTTCTAATCACATTTTGTGTTATGTTTAGAATTTCTTAAAACAAATATAGGTGTGTTAGACTGACTATGGGCGTAATACCATAAAATTTAACTATAAAGTTCAACGAATGAAATGGAAAGGATGCGCACATATACATCCGAAAGTTTCGACTAAAGTCTTTATCAATTGAGTGCTGAATACAACACAGACTGTGACTGCACAACTGAACGGACAAAAAGCCAACAGGCTTAGGCGGTCACAACAATTCTCTTCTAAGAATACTTACGATGCTCGGGGTGTTGGACGTGGTCTACGGCAACCATTCTGTTCAAATGTACTTCAAATGTAGTTTATCTTAAATCTACAGTTTCTTGAGTAATAGAGATTTCACTTTCTAATGGTAACTTATATAAGAACTTTCCCAGTATCGCTACTAACAATTCAAGGAAACAAAATATTCATATTTTTAAAATGGCGTCCAACTAATGAATGGTGCCTTGAGAGATTGACAATGTTATGTGTGACGTAGAAGCTAGGATGGATTCTAGAGCCGCTTTCCTGCGACCGATCGATGCGCTGTGGATGAGAGAAAAATATCGAACAGCTTCTGCTTCGTGCTGCGCTCTTCGGCGGGAAATACTTGTGCTGGCTAGGGCAGCTACAAACCTGAGGGAGAAAATGGACCTTTAAGCCCGCTGTATACTTCTTTTACGACGGAACTGAAAACATGCATTACATGTGTTTTCAGTATCTGTAATTGTTTAGTGCGAGTAAAGAACTCTTGCAGAAAAAAAAAGTAATTTTTACTCGAAGACTAGAAGTGGACATGGCTTGGCGGGCTGCTTAAAGTTATTTTGGACATTTTCTCCCTTAGGTCACTCCATATTTTTCCTTCTATGTGAATTCACAACTATCCTTTTTAACACTGTGGGTGGTGGGTGGGGAAAGGGGGAGGGGAAAATACGAAAAATAATTATTTCACACAGCTAGTCTGCACATTTATTTCGTGTCAGTAATTAGATACTTGTCCCTGATTAACTATATAAACGCCATTCTTCGTGGAAACTTCTAATTTATATGCACACAACAGCTAGCATGATGTCTCTACCCCTCCCCTCCTCATTTCTTCATCGTTTACTTCTTCTTCTTCTTCTTCTTCTTCTTCTTCTTCTTCTTCTTCTTCTTCTTCTTCTTCTTCTTCTTCTTCTTCTTCTTCTTCTTCTTCTTCTTCTTCTTCTTCTTCTTCTTCTTCATCATCATCATCATCTTCTTTTTCTCATTGTGATACGGAGAGGAGGATTATACACAAATGTTGACTAAAATGGTCCTGAAATCCCATGCTACCATTGTGGAAGACTTTTCTTGACACGGGCGGGTCTTGCTAGTCACACTCGCCATCGCCATGGTCAGTGAGTCTCATGCCTCCTCATAGCGCAATATAACACTATCGTCTGGAAAGACGGAAAGGTACCAATCGAATCGTTGTAGGTACCTGCGTCAAACCTGAGCCAAACAATTTCTGAAGGCCTCAGAGATGCGGTTTTACATAAGAACGCTTAAAATACATTGGACAGCCAAAAAGAGCAAACAAGAGGTTTTGAAAGATGCGTGAGCCCGATGAAAACTTATCACAGACATCAGAAGGAGACAGTCATCACTTTTTGGTCATGTTATGAGAACTTGTTGTCACTATTGAAAAGGTCTTTGGAAGGAGGGGTAGAGGAAGACAACGAGAGAAGATTCTTGACAGTCTTGCTGCATGGCATGGAGGTGTGTCAGCACACGAACTGATACATGCTGCAGGCGATCGTGGATTGGGGAAAGGCATGATCACCCACGCCTGTCGGCAAGGCACCTGATGATGATGTACACCGAATGACTGAAGCACAATAAAACTACATCCGGTAAACAAAACGAAATGTTGTTGTCAACCACGTTTGTCAGTTGTTGATCATTATTTTTACATTGTTAGGAATTTATTTTAAAATAAATGTAAGTGTGTATATTTTGTAGTTCTGTACGCTGTATTAATATTTTATTCTATGCTCTACGTTTCGTAATTGAAAGATACTCGATTTGGGAGCATACTAAAGCCAGCAAGATTCAAGAATCTAATTGAGTAATCACAGTCACAGTCAGTTGAGTCAGTCAACGCCACGGCAATTTCATTTTTTATTTCGGCGACACTGCTGACCTGACAGCCCGGTATCGAGTCGTAGTCGACCATTCAGTAAACACTTTTAAACACTGTCATTATCAGTGGCGAACTGCTGAACATAAAATTGCCTAGTAAAATGTACAAAACAATTATGTTTTACTCCACCCACCCCGCAGGGGGCAGGCAGATGCCAGATGCACTCCGACTTTGAAGAAAGCACCCATCACCCAGTTAATTAGTTAGGCTCATTAGACTCATCTTTTTGATTTATAACTATAACTGCCAAGGGATTTTGTTTACATACGCAACTCTATACACATGGGCGTCCGGTCTTACTACCCAGAAACCAGGGGATGTTACTAGAAGTCCTCATGAAAAAATGATATCCCAGCCTTCACCAGGGCCTAACCCCGGGATCTCCAGCACTCGAGGCGGACACCATGTCTCAAGACCACTCAGTCTCCCATCATATTTATATCAATATTATGGCTATCCTCCGAAAACGATCCTAAATTATCTACGCAGAAAATAATCTCACAGGGCCTCAGTCACCTGTCAGTTATGCAGTTCCGTCGCCTTGAAATGTGAGCTTCCGACGACTTTCCCCGCCGCCAAATTGCGAACTTTCGGCAACCTCTGCCACCGCCGAGAGTACTACACACGCCGCTCATGCGGCGTGGATTGGGGCTAAACTAGATGGCTGGGACTCACGAGCAGCAGCTACCGCATTTCCTGCAGTTGCCGTCATTTTATTTGCTCGTGACTCCTCGCCATTTAGTTTAACCCCAATCCACGGCGCGTGAGCGGCGTGGGGAGTACTCTCGGCGGAAGGCGCCAGAATTTTGCAATTTGGCGGTGCCGGTATAGTCCCCGGAAGTACGCAATTGACACGTGACTGAGGCCCTGTTAGGGATTTTTTTCTGCGTAGATTATTTAGGACCGTTATTTGGAGGATAGCCAATATTATTTATATAACTGACTGCTGTCCATTCAAGGCTGGGTCAACCTGGGAGCCAAGGTCACAATATAGAATACAATCTGGATATAAAGTATACTATGCCCTTCAGCAACTGGTAAAGCCAAAGTCTCTATCTCACAACACCAAGATCAAAATATATAAAATGATAAGAATAGTTGTTTTATATGGCTCTGAAACTTGGTCAGAACTAAAAGAGATAATGATAAAGCCTTATAAAAATTGTTCAGTCTCACTATGCATTTTTGGACCTATCAGAGATGCAAACGGTGGGGAAAGGAGAGAGAGAAGCATCAAAGAAATTTATAATTGTTTAAATCACTGGCATCATGGCGGCTAATAGATTCAAGTGGCTGGGGCATATTGAGAGAATATCAGATAACAGAGGTAAAAACAAGGGAGCTGAATGGTCATAGACCACGATCAGATCAAGAAGACAATGGAGAGATAATATCCAGACAGACCTGCAAAAGATGTCACCAACTGAAAAGAGAAGGCAAACCAGAGAGATGAATGGATGCGGGTAATATCTATAACATTAAACCTCAAGGGTTCGGAAGGAAGTAATAAGTAGAGATATGGATGTAAGAAAAATCAAATTATATTAAGGAAACAGCTGACGAAAGATCACACAAAATTAATTTCTACACTGTACATGAAACCCAATGGTCCCAGTAGCAAAACAGCCAAAACATTAGCCTTCGATTGACTGACTGATGTTCAACCCCACCAGGACATCACACCGAGCTATAAACACCCGGTAACCTAAAGTGTCATCATTCAGATGAGGATCACCCAAGCACAGGTCCCAGAAACCCCGTTTGACTTAAAGGTTAGGTTATATTAGGGCCTCCGGCAACAGCCAGAGTGGATGCGTACCATTTTTTAGATGGTTAATGATTATAATTTGCCTTTCGATGCTGTAGTCATGTTTTTAAATGTCTCGGCTGGGTCAGTCACCTGAATTCCTAGGTTCACTAGTCTAAAATGGGTGCCAGAAAAATTTCCTTCCAAGTAAAAACAACTAAAATGATGCTGTCCACATCATTCATCTTATTCTAGTTGGTCTAAAAATATGTGACTAACATTTTCTTATTCTTTACTGCGTTCGGTTTTGTATGCTCAGATCAGACTATCAGGTGGGTGGCCTCTATGAACTCGCATGTCAGTAGCAGGTTCTTTATGGTTCCCAACAACTTGCTCTGCACACTTTGCTCTTGAGGCCAGGTGTTTTTTTGAAGTTGTAGGTAGAGTGGGCAAGTCTGCAGAATTTGCTCAGGTGTTTGTGGTCCTGTTTGACAGGCACACTGTGGGGACTATACAATCTTTATTTTATGCATGTGGTAGTTGAGCCTGCAGTGTCCTGTTCGTAGACGAAAAATTGTTGAATGTTGCTTTCTGTTGAGTTTGCTGATGGGGTCTTGTGGATGTTTACTGTTAGTTCTCTCCACGATTCCTTGTATTTTCCCTTCATAAGTGTTCTGATTTCTGGTAACGACAATGGATGGGTGCATTGTATCGCCTTTGTTCCTTTTTTTGCAAGTCTGTTTGCTAACTTATTTCCTGGTATGCCGCAGTGAGCCGGGATTCATTGGAGAACAGTTTGATTATTTTTAACGTCATATAATTAATATGACTGTTAATGTGAAAAGTATATAAGTATGCTTGTTCCTGGCATACTTTTGCATATAACTCAATTATATTTTACTTTATGGAAGCTATGTAGAATAGTGTCTCATCCATAATAACTGAGCTTTGAACTAAATGACACATCTTCGGTGAAAGAAATCCACAACCTTTAGAGTGTGAGGCAGACGGTTCCCAGCAAATGTTCATCGATGCAACAAATATGCTTTGCGATATTTTTAAACATAAAAATAACTTTTATAATCTGCAATAAAAAAAAACACGAAAATATCTTTGATAATCTACAGTAAAAATGTGAAGAGACTTATAATCTACACTAAAAATATGCAGATTTAAATTTTTTAGATAAAAAACATGGAGATAACTTTTATAACTACACTATACAATTAAAGATGACTTTTATAATCTACAGTAAAAGCATGAAGATAACTTTTATAATCTACAGTAAACTCAAACAAAAAAACAATATGAGGAATCTCAAGCTGCTAGAAAGGAGGGTGGTGAGAGATGTCATGAGAGTCTCAGATGCCTTGGTCATGGCG